ACCGTCGCAGTCGCCGCAGCGGCCCAGGTCCAGCAGCCCCGCGTCGGACGGCGGCGCCCCGATGACCCTGCTGCCGCCGCCGTCCCGCAGCCTGTCGCCGCCGGTGCCGCAGGCTGGGCACGGGCTGGCGGTGCCAGGGCCGCCTGCGCTGCAGGAGCCCAGGGGCGGCTTTGCGGCCGCGTCGGCCTCGCCTGCCGCGGGGATGCCCCGCTGGGCCTCGCCTGCCGCGGGAGCCTCCCGCGACGCCTCGCCTCCAGCGGGCGCGCCCCGCGAGACCTGGCAGGCCACTGGCAGGCGCCGCGAGGCCTCGCTGGGCGCGCTCCGCGAGCGCTCGCCGCCCAGGGACGCACTTCGCGATGACTCGCCAGCCGCAGACGCAGCGCGCCAGGGCTCGCTGGGCGCGGCCGCGCTCCACGAGAGGTCGCCGGCAGCCGGCGCGCTTCGCGAGCGCTGGCCGACTCTGGGCGCTCCTCGGGAGGCGGAGCCCGCGCGCGCGGGCGCGCTCGCCGAGCTCGCCGCCGCGCACACGGAGCTGCGCGTCGGGGTCAGCGAGGTGCGGTCCTTGCTGAGGTTCGAGCGCACGGCGAGGGAGGCGCTGGGCCAGCGGGTCGAGAGCCTGACCAGCCCGCCGGCGCGCGCAGGGGGCCCTGGGTGTGTGTGTGTGTGTCGTCTTCGCGCAGTCCAGACCCCCTCGAGGCATTCGACACGTTCGGCTTCTGGGGGCCCCTACCAGGCCTCGGGACTGCCAATAAAACGATTCAGGATGAAAAGCTGGACATGGGGAATTGGTCGTGACCTCTGGGGGTCGACGTCGTGACAAAAACCATGGCGTCGGGGGTCTGAGAATAATGACCCTTCGCCAGAGCGCCCTTCGGTGCGGGCCCACGAGGGTCTCCCCCTGAAGCCGCGCACCTAACGTCACTCGTGCCGAGGGTCATTCCTGCGTGTGGCCGAGGGTGGCGGCGCGAGGGGGGAAGCGGCCTTCGAAGAAGGTGGGTATAGGCTGATGGCTTCTTGGAGGGCAGGCCTCTCCTCAGCAGCGCCTCCTCCTCCTCCTCCTCGCCCTCCTCCTCGTCCTCCTCCTCCTCCTCCTCCTCCTCCTCCTCCTCCTCCTCCTCTTCCTCGTCCTCCTTCTCCTCCTCCTCCTCCTCCTCCTCCTCCTCCTCCTCCTCCTCCTCCTCCTCCCGGGAGGCCTCTCGCGATGGGGTTTCCGGAGAGCCGCCGGCCTGCTTGGAAGCCCCTCCCCCGTTCTGTGGGAGGCCGGCCCCCTCGCGCCCAGCAGTCGTCCGGCGAGGGGTCGCTCGCGCGTTGGTTGGGGGGGGGGGCGACTCATTTGGGGGGGGGCAGCGAGGGCTGCAGAAAAGGGGCCCCTTGGGGCGCCTGGAGGGGCCCGGGCCCGCTAGGGCCCAAGGGGGGACCTGTAGGGCCCGAGGAGAGCACCTCTCTTCTCGGCAACGCGCAGAGGGGGATCGGGGGAGGGGGGAAGGCTTCTTAGAAGCACCCCTGCTTCTTAGAAGGCGCGGGCCTTCTCTATAGACGTAAGGCCGAGGCCTTCTAAGAAGCAGGGTGCTTCTAAGAAGCCTTCCCCCCTCCCCCTACCCCCTTTTGCGCGCCGTCAATCTTCCCTCCTGATTTATCGCCCCCCCCCCAGGAAAGGACCCCCAGGCCTCCCATCGTTCTGGATGATGACCCGTAGACACTCGGAAAGTAGCCACTCAGCGAGGGTCTTTGGGTTTCCCATTCGGTGGGGGCATTGGTGAAGGAATCTCCCCAGGAGGCTTCAGACCCTGGAATGTTCCTGATATGATGAGGGCGGCTGTGATACCCATGGCCAAGCCATGATTGGGGTCCCACCAGCTTCCAGACCTGGACTCCCTACCCACCGGTTCTTTCTCCGGCGCCCTCACTGTACAGGCACTCAGCCAGGTCAGGGTCTTTGGGCTCCCCACCACCGTTCGTGCCCGCCCCCCCCCCCCTGAGCGTGCCGCCGACCAGCCAGTGGGAGGTCCTGAGCGAGATGGGCAAGCAGGTGCAGCGGGCGCTCGCGGGGCGGCAGCAGCCGCCGCCGCCCGGCGCTCCGGCCCAGCAGGTGGTGGACCTCCTCGCGCGCGTGGACGCCCTCGAGCGGCGGCCAGCACGAGACGGCGCGGCGTCGGCGGAGCCCCTGGGCACGTCGCACGAGCGGTGAACATCTCCGTGTCCGCGCTCTCGCGGTCCCCCGAGATCCTGGCGACTCCATTTTTTGCTCGGCGCTTTCGCTCCATCTCGGGCCCCGGGACCCTCACAGATCGATCCGGCTCGAAAAATGACGCGGGAAGAGGGGGTCCGCGGGTCTGGTCGTGTTTTTTTTTGCGATGTTGCATTTTTTCTGTGCAACATCGGATCTCAGGGTCGGGATTCCGAGGCACGACCGCGTGTTCGCACGGCTACGTCCCGCGGTGGGCATCCGCGAGAAAAAAAGCCCGTAGTTATACTCGCGGGATCGTGGCCCAGGTGGGGCCGTCGGAGGGCGGCTCGGGATGAAGAGCGGGTCCCAATGGCAGGCCTCGGAGTGCAGGCCCCGTTTCCCTCGGGGCCCGTCCTGCATCATGTCGGCCCAGAGCATTGGATGCCAGATGTTTGTCGGTCTCGATGGGTCACGGCCGATTGCGACCGTCTCCGAAATCGGTCGCGACTGGTCGGTCGGGACCTATCCTGAAGCAAGTCAGTCGCCACCGATACGTGAAATGAAAGCAACATTGGTAGCGGCCGATCTGACCAACAAGTTTTGGCATCCAATGGTCATGTCAAGGAGACCCTGCGCGGCCGCCTGGCCGAGCTCGAGGCACAGGGCGACCGGCTGAAGGCCGCTCAGCAGGCAAGGGCCGCCACGAGGGCGCGAAGCTCTTCGCGGTTCGCGGCTTCTCATCCTCATTGAGCCTCATTTTCCTTGTCTTCCTCTTTCCCGCTTCGTGCTTCGCGAAGCTTTTCTCGTTCTCCGTATCATCCTCTCCCCTATGTTCCGTATCCTCCTCGTCCGCCTCGTCCTGCGTTGCGGCTGGTTCTGGGCCCCACCGTCAACGTCCAGAGCCTCTTTCCGAGCCTCCCGCCACGAGAATGTTTTTTTCGCTCGTTACTCGTTGAACCTGTCGCGTCCGTTCGCCCCGCCCCCCCCCCCTCCCCGAATGTACGGGATGGGGTTCCGACCCCCGCACAGCTATGTACCGTGCTCACAGGCACGGCGTGGTGCTGATAGGCACGGAAGGGTCCCCAGACGCCTCCAGAGGCGGCCGTCGTCGTCGTCCTCGTCCTAGTCCTTGTCCTCGTCGTCATTCCCGTCGTCGTCGTCGTCGTCGTCGTCGCTGTCGTCGTCGTCGTCGTCGTCGAGTTTCGTCGTCCTCGTGTCCGAGGGCCTCGAAAGTCCTGCAGACGCTTCCAAGGGCCTCCGAAGATTGCCTGAGGCCTCTGGAGATCTATGAAGACCTTCGAGGGCGGCCGCCGTTGTCGTCGTCGTCGTCGTCGTCGTCGTCGTCGTCCTCTTCTCCGCGGGCCTCGAAGGGCCTCCAGATGACGCCTCCAGAGGCCTCCAGAAATCTCCTCCGACAGTTGGAGACTTCTGGAGACCTTCGAAGGCGGCCGTCGTCGGCGTCGTCGGCGTCGGCGTCGGTGTCGTTCTCGCCGCCGTCGTCGTCGTCGTCGTCGTCGTCGTCGTCGTCGTCGTCGTTGTCGTCGTGATTTGTCGTTGTTGTCGTCGCCTCCGTCCTCGTCCTCGTCGTCGTCGTCGTCGTTTCGTCGTCGTCGTCCTTGCTCTCGTCCTCGTCGTTGTCGTCGTCGTCGTCGTTATTGTTGTCGTCGCGTTGTTGTCGCTGTCCCTTTTATCGTCGTTGTAATCGTAGTCGTCGTCGTTGACGTTGTCGTCGTCGTCGTCGTCCTCATGCCCGTCGTCGTCGTCGTTGTCGTCGTTGTCGTCGTCGGCGTCGTCGTTGTCGTGGTCGTCGTCGTCGTCGTCGTCGTCGTCGTCGTCGTCGTCGTTGTAGTCGTTGTGGTCATTGCCGTTCTTGTTCTCGTTCCCGTCACTGTCCTCGTCGTCGTCCTCGTCCTCGTCCTCCTCGTGGTCGTTCTGGTCGTCGTCGTCGCCGAGGGCCTCGAAGGGCCTCCAGACGCCTCCAGAGGTGTTCGGAGGCCTCCCTAGGCCTCCAGAGATCTCCAGAGACCTTTGGAGGTGGCTTTCGTTGTCCTCGTCCTCGATCCTCGTCGTCCTCGTCCTCGTAGTCGTCGTCGTTGTCGTCGTCGATCTCGTCCTCGTCCTCGTCCTTGTCATCGTCCTGGTCGTCGTCGTTGTAGTCGTCGTCGTCGTCGTCGTTGTAGCCGTCGTTGCGTCATCGTCGTTGTTGTCGACGTCGCTTTCGTGGTCGTTGTCGTCGTAGTCGTTGTGGTCATTGTCGTCCTCGTTATCGCTGTTTGTCGTTGGTCGTCGTCGTTGTCTGTCGTTGTTGTTGGCGCCCCCGTCCTCGTCCTCGTCCTCGTTGTCGTCGTCCTCGTCCTCTCCCTCCTCGTCGTCGTCGTCCTCGTCGTCCTCGTGGTCACCGTCGTCGTCCTGTGCCTGGCCCCCCCCCCACCCGCGGGGCCTGACCACGTTACTGTAAACCCCCACAGGGGCACGACCCACGCCCAATAACGCACGTTACGGAGGTTGGACCAGCATTCTCCACGCGTAGCGGAGCGACATACTATCCACTCGCGAGGCATAGCGCGTTGCCAGGGCCGATGCCGCGAAGCGCTATCCAGCAGATCCCGACCGTAGCTGCCCCTGAGCAGGCCGCCGAGGCGGGCCGGGCGCGGCAGTGCGAGGAGCTCTCGGGGCGCGTCGGGGCGCTCGAGGGGCAGCTGGCGCAGGTGCAGCGCGCGCCGCCGCCGGGCGCGGGCGCCCGCGGAGGGGAGCTGGACCGCCTGGCGCCGCTGGAGGAGAGCGTGCGGGCGCTGGACCAGCGGGTGCAGTCGTTGGCGAGCTCGGCCGCGGCATGCGAGCGGCAGGCGATCGGAGGAGCAAGGAGGCGTGCGAGTGACGCGTGTCAAGATTTCCAGGGTTCCAGAGAGAGAGGTCAGGTGTCCCAGCTGTCCGACAGTGCTTCTCAGACTTCAGGAGCGAGGGCCGCTAGATACTCTGGAAGTCCTGGGTCGTAGCCTGAGCCAACCCTATCTTGACAGCGTCCTCGTCCCAGGTGGGGGCTCGGGCGGGGTCTGCTCATGCCCACCGCCGCTGGCCAGGCCCATCCTGGGCCCAGGCTCGGTGCACACGCCGCCCCCCTGGCCCGGCCAGGCAAGCACACGCAGCGCTGCGGGGAGCTCGGGCTGGGCCGGGCCAGCGGCGGTCCCTGAGATCCCGACGTCGCGAAACAATGGGAACATGGTAGAGATCACGGCCAGAGCCCTGCAGTGGAGACCCATGCCAAGAGACACCCTGCTTGCCTCCAGGGTGCCCTGTGTTTCTCGGGTTTCGATGGCTTCGCTGTGGAAGGCGCGACGCTCCCACAGCAAAAATCAATGGACGTCCTGGGGTCCCAGGGCTGGGTTTATTGTGAGAGGTTTCTGGTGAACTGGCCTCCTCTGTAGACCTTTTTCTCTCTGCGCCGTTTTTCGAGCCCGATCGATCTGTGAGGACGCTGGTGCCCGAATCCTGGCGAGAACGCCCAGCCCGAGACGAGGAGACGCCATGATCACGTGTAGACCTCGCCGCCCCGCAGGCGAGCTCGCGGCAGCTGGAGTGGGTCACGTCCCTGCGGGGCCTGGACGACCACGTCTGGTCCCTGAGCAGGTCCCTGCAGGACTTGGCATCGCTCGGACGTGTGCTTTTTTGGGCGAGGACGATCTGAAGCATCCTGGATCAGCTCGCGAAGAGTAGACGCACGAAGCCGAAGAATGCACGGGGATTGGACGTCCGAGCGATGGCACGAGGAGCTGCGCGGCCGCGCCCACGCCCGGGGCCTGGAGCCCGCGGCGGCCGGCTCGCCGGGCGGCCCCGCCGCGACGCCCGGCGGCGAGGAGCAGGAACCGCGGGTGTTCGACGCGCGCTGTCGCGGCCAAGTCGACAGGAGGCTGTGTCATGGGAGGGTCCTTGGTTTTGATCCTCCCCCCCCCTGTTTCTCTCGGCGGGGAATAGAGCTCGTCCCTTCTCTTTCTGAGGGCGCTCCGAAGGCATAAGTAGCAGTAGTCGTAGTCGCAGTCGGAGTCGCAATCGTAGTCGTCGTCGTCGTCGTCGTCGTCGTCGTCGTCGTCGTCGTCGTCGTCGTCGTCGTCGTCGTCGTCGTCGTCGTCGTCGTCGTCGTCGTCGTCGTCGTCGTCGTCGTCGTCGTCGTCGTCGTCGTCGTCGTCGTCGTCGTCGTCGTCGTCGTCGTCGTCGTCGTCGTCGTCGTTGTTGCGCGTCGAGTGCTGCGGGTGAATTGCAATTTTCCGCTATTGGTGGGGCCCCAGTCCGTCAATAAGGGCGTCGATACGATAATTCATTTCCATTGTTTGGGGGGGGGGTCTAAAGAACCTTCGGGGTTATCTGTGTTGCGGTCGGAAGCTTTTTGGAACGGAGTCTCCGGTCGGGACCTTTTGCTTAGCGTGACGCCGCGGAGGCCCTGGCGACACGCCATGCCGGGCCTTGCAAGCGGATGGCGTGTCGCTCCGCCAGTTCTGGCCCACCACGCTTCGGCGCGACACGCTGTCCACGTCCCAGTCCCCGAGCGTCAGTGTCTCGAGCCTTTCCCAGCCTCCCGCCCCGCGGAGCGGAGCGACACGCTATTCGGAAGGCCATTCGCTTGCAAGGGGTGACGTGTCGCCAGGGCCTTCGCGGCGACACTCTGAGCAACAGTTCCCGACCGTAGACTCTGGCGAGGCCCGGAAGGAAATGCGGGCTTCACGCAAAGTCGGGGCTCACTTGCACGCCTTCCTTTTCGGTCCAGCGCCGTTTGAAGAGGCGACGAAAGGGGGGAAGTGCCATGTAAGCAAACTTGTTTGAATCTAATGTAACGCGCCCTCCGGCCGTTTCCGAGACCCCGCCCCTCTCTCGGGTCGGAAGAAACTTTGACATCTTCTCGCTGTGAGAGAAAGCGCGACGGCGAGAGAGAGAGGCCGGATCACGAAATCTGCTGTGTGCAGCTGGTTTCTTTCGGCCCCGCCGCAGGGCGCGTTCCTCGATGCATTGGCTCCTCTGGCGCCCTCAGGCGCTGGGAACACCAGCTGCGTAAGCGGTTGGGCTACTCCCCCTCTCTTATCCCCCCCCCTTTCGTCCGATCCGACCCTCCAGGTGCGGATCACCCCTCGGATCAGGGCGACGCCATAAAGCAGTGACGGTATGTTTTTGGACGTCTTCGGCCTCTGGGGGCGGTTCCTTGGACCCAGTATTGTCAAAAGACGACAGAGGATGACAAGCTTGCCCTTGGGAAGGGGTCGAGATTCCCGAGTGCCCGTGCCACAAGAAATACGACGTTGGAGATGAATTATACCCGCGTCCCGCGTATCTGGATCCTCACATGCAGGCCACTGTCCACCGACCTATCAACAACACTTCATAATCGTCTTCATCCCACCCTCACCGTTGTCACTCTCGAGTGTACCGCAGCCACGAAACCCAATCGCCACCACCAGTCCATCTTCGCATTCGCCCTCGTCGTCACCGTCCCCGTCCATCCTCATTTCGACTCTCATCCTTGACCTCTCGCTAATCGTCCTCCTCATCCTCGCCCTCATTCTCACCGCCCTCGCCCTTCCTCGTCTGTACTCTCACCATCATGCACACAATCTTCACCGCCGCCCTCGTCCTCTCTCCCTCTCTCTCTCTCCGTTCCTCTCTCTCTCTCTCTCTCCCTTTCTCCTCCTCGTCATGTTTCACTTTCACTCCCGCTCCCGCGTTCATTCACCGTCAGCCTCGTCCTCGGTAACATCCCGGTCGCCACCGCCTGACCCCGTATCGACTGTCACAGCACGCGTCCCCATCCAATCCTTGTGACAACCTGCGTTCACCAGCGTGTGAGACCGTGCGAGGGATATTGAACCCTGCCACCGTGGCAGGAGGGGAACAAACGCAAGACAGCTCGCCGCTCAGGCCCCGTCGCCAGCCCAAACTGAAAGCATGAACCGGGCGTGGCCTGGTCGAAATTGCTAATGGGTGCTCGGCCCAAGGGCAGCACCACGGGTTGCGCCACCCATGGCCAGCGCCTCGGGTTGCGCCCTCCAGAGGTTGCGCCACAGTTTGCGTCACGCATTGCACCATTTGCGCCGTGGATTGTTCCGTGCATGGGTTGCGCCATAGATTTCGGCATAGGTTGCGTCATCAGTGGATTGCTTCATCCATGCGGTGCGGCTTAGGTTGCGCCATGAATTACGGCCTGGGCTGCCGAACATAAAGGGCCTACTATTGGTTTCGCCACGCGTTGCGCCCTCGGCAGCCGAGCGCCCTCGGCTGCCGAAGATCACATTGCCTGCTGTTGGTTGTGCCACAGATTGCGTCCTCGGCTGCCGGGGATCCAACGGCCTGCTGTCCGTTGCGCAATAGATTGTGCCATCGGTTATCGAGCATACGACGGCCTGCCAGTGGCTGTGCCATGGGTGGCGCATTCGGCTGCCGCACATAAAACTGCCGTTGTTAGAGCCATGGGTTGCGCACCCGCCCGCCATGGGTTGCGCCCCGGTGCCAAGCATTAAACCGTCTGTTAGCGGGTGCGAACAGTCAGTCAATCGGGCAGCCAAGTCCGTCAGTCCTTTCCAGTCAGTCAGGCATTGCACGTCGCCAAAAACAAATGTGGGCTACGCCCGAAACAAAGCGACCTGCTTTTGGCTGCGCCACGGTTGGCACCCTCGGTTGCAGAACATCGATCGGCCTGATAGTAGATGCGCCATGGGTTGCGCACTGGGCTGCCTGGAATGCATGGTTGCGCCAATGGTTGCGCCCTTGGCTGCCGAAAGCATAATCATCTGCTGAGGGTGGGACAAGTCAGTAAGTCCAGCCGCTCAGTCCAGTCAGCCAGTCAGCCAGTCAGCTTCACAGAAAAACGCATTCGGTCTACGGCCGAAATCGAAACAACAAATGATCAGGTTTTATTGCATAGCCTCCCAGGGTCAGCTTGAAGGGCTTTTCGGGAATGTCTTGGTAGACTACGCCTGGAATCAGAACTCATTCGCCAAACCGTGCTTGATTTAAGGAGTCCTTACTTGATTCCTGAGGGACTGGACGCCCCCCTGCCGTCCCGTTGTCGCTCTGGATTGTCGGCTCGTGGGCGTCCGATTGTTCTGCATTGGCTGCATTGTTTGACATTGCTGTGGGTTTCACCCCATCGGTTGCACTAAAGCGTTGTTTGGGGTCCAGGCTGGGATCAGATTTCTCTTACAATTGGGCTCACACGGGCCTCTTGGAGGGCTCATCGGGGGCTTCGGAGAGCATTTTTGATGGTTCGAGCTATCTCTCCTGCCATGGATAGGCGCTCCGAGACGTCTTGCAGGGTGAGCGATGTCTCTGGGCGACGGGGCTCTCCGAAGCCAAACGTGGGCAATATTCGATTTGACTAGGGACAAAGTTGGTCGACTTGGGACCTGCAATGGGACCGCCCAGAGCGTTCCCTTGGAAGCCTCGGGGCGCATCCAGGGGGAAGGGGGCAACAACCACGCTGCCCACTCGATCTAATGTCAGTCTCACATGTTGTGTTCTCCGTGCCTTGAGAGGCAATTTCCAACGCCCATGCGGATTTCACTCAGTCGTGTGGTCGCCGGGATGTCCGCTCCCTATCTCCTGCTCCTCCCAAAAAAAACGTGGGGGCGGAAAGGGACCACGGGGCACTCTATGCCCCAGACGAGGTCGGCGTGCCCCGTTTTCGCTTCTTTGGCACGGCGTGGGCCAGCCGACAGTCGCGCGCCGATTGCGGAAAGCACGGCGCCGTGCCGAAGCTTTGCATTGTTGCGCCAGTCCGAGTCGCTGCGGAGGGGATGGGGTTCTGGATCCCCTCCCCTGGCGCACGAAGCGCGTCAGAGGCGGCGCCGGAGGCGCCGCCATGGGGGGCCCAGCGCCCACACAGGAAATCCGCGCGGGCCTCCAGCGGTGTACTGTTCTGGTGTAGGTCGTGTCTCCGTGCTGGTGGTTCCCAGGAGCTGCGGCTGCTGCAGGCGGACGGCGAGGGCCCCGGCCTCCCGAGGCAGCAGCGAGGCGGCAGCTCGAACGAACGGCTGGCGCAGCTGCAGGGCCAGGCCGGGAACCTGGCCCGGGCAGCTGCGGACGCGCGAGGCCCAGGCGCGCTCGAGCCGCAGGTGCTCAGCCGCTGCGACGAGCTCCGCGACCACCTGTCCACGCTCGAAGCAGGGATGACGAGCATGGCCGAGCGGCTGAGGTTCCAGGAGCAGCAGGTCGCCCAGTTGTCCAGCCGGCTGCCAGAGCTCGTCGGCACCGGGCCGCCGCGGCGGGACGAGGTCCTGGAGGCGCTCAGCGGCAGCGTGGAGCGCCTGAGCAGGCGGCTCGCCGAGCAGCGCGTCGTAGAGCCCGCGGGGCTCGGGCCCGCGCTTGCCGCAGAGCACGCCGCCGCGGCGGACCTTGCCCCCGCCCAGGAGCTGCAGCAGCTGCGCGCCAGCCTCCTCCGCATCGAGCGGCGGTGCTCGGAGCTGCAGGCGCGCGTGGACGCGCAGGCCGAGGCCGTCCGGCGCTCCGCGCTCGCTTTCGCCGCTGGCGTCGGCGCCACGCCTTGGGCTGGGCCTGAGTCGGCGGAGCCACCTCTGGTGCCAGCGGCAACGTCCGCCGCAGGCCCCTGGGCCCGGGGGGTGGTCCTGCCGCCTCCAGCGCCAGCGGCGGCTGCGGAGCAGGCGCCCTCCGAGCCGGCCGTGGGCTCGTTGCAGCTGGAGCCGCCCGGCGCCTGCACGCCAGGCGGCGAGCCCGACCCGCTGCGCCGGCTCAGCGAGCCCTGCGGCGTGGGCGGCAGCAGCGGCGGCGGCCTCGGCGGTGGCTGCGAGGGCGGCGGCTGCGGCAGCGGCGGCGGGAGTTTCGGCGACGGCAGCGGCAGCCTCGGCAGCGCCAGGGCGAGGAGCCTCGCCGGCAGCGGCGGCATCGGCGGGCGCCTTGGCCTCGCCGGCCTCGGCGAGAGCCTCGGCCTCGGTGGCCGGCGCCTCTTCGGCGCTGGAGCTGGAGGGCACGGCTTCGGAGGGGGCGGCCTCGGCTTCGGCGGCAGCCTCGGCGGCAGCACTGGGGCCTCCGCCGATGCTTGGGCGGCGGACGCGCCAGGGAGCGGGGGCTCGTGCGCGGCCTCGCCGCGCGGCGGGCTGGGCGACTGGGGCGAGCCGCGGCCCGCGTGGCCGGAGTGGCGGCTGGGGGGCAGGAGCTGAGGCCTGCCTGCTCATTCGAAGAAGAAGAAGAAGCATAATAGTTAATAATAGTACTGATCATAAGAATATTCACACGCAGAAGAAGCAGAATAAGAAGAAGAAGGATATCAGAGGCGGGCGAGTTGAGACAACGATGGTTTGGTATTCGGGGGTGCCCCTAGTCGACATGGCTGGGCGCGGCTGCGGAGAATGGTGCGTGTGGACCCTGGGAGGGGTCCAGGGACCGTTTTCGAGAAGAAGGGGGATGATTCGAAATATCAGTTCCATATATATATATATATATGTATATATATATGTATTTATATATGTATATATATATATGTATATATATTCATATATATATATATTCGATCACCAACAGTGATAAGTTTTATAATGGTATTACTAGTACTAGTACTACTACTACTACTACTACTACTACTACTACTACTACCACTACTACTACTACTACTACTACTACGACTACTACTACTACTACTACTACTACTACTACCGCTACTACTACTACTTCTACTACTACTACTACTACTACTACTACTACTACTACTACGACTACTACTATACTACTTACTACCACTACTACTATCTACTTACACCACTACTACTATACTACTTATACTACTACTATACGACTTGCCTACTATATACTTGGAATACCACCTATCCCCCCTACTAGCCTGAATCCTTACTACACTATTACTACTACAACTACTACTACTACTACTACTACTAATACTACTAATACTACTACTACATAGTTTACTACTAACGACTACTACTATATACTACATACTAGTACTACGAACTACTACTGCTACTACTAACACTACTACTAATTACTACGACTACGACTACGACTACGACTACTACTACTAGTACTACTACTACTACTACTACTACTACTACTACTACTACTACTACCACTACTACTACTACTACTACTACTACTGCTACTGCTACTACTACTACTACTATTACTACTACTACTACTACTCCTACTACTACTAGGGCTGACCGAGGGATGGTGGCCGGGCAGTTCGTCCGGGAGACGACTTAAGCGTGGTGATGGAGGTTTCGCGTCTCCAACGGTTTTAACAAAAAAGAAAGGACATTGTGGGTGTGGGTGTGGGTGTGGGTGTGGGTGTTGGTGTCGGTGGTTCATGTATGATGTCTGATGTTGTATGATGATGTATGATGGTGTATGATGAGGTATAATGATGTATGATGATGCATGATGATGTATGATGATGTGTTTTGATGTGCGATGATGTTTGATGGTGCACGATGATGTATGATGATGTGCGATGTTGTACGGTGATGTATGATGATGTATGATGATGTATGATCATGTATGATGATGTATGATGATGCATGATGATGTATGGTGATGTATGATGATGTATGGTGGTGTATGATGGTGTATGATGATGTATGATGATCTATGATGGTGTATGATGATGTAAGATGATGTCTGATACTGTATGATGATGTATGATGATGTATGATGATTGACGTATGGTGTTTGAATATGTATGATGTAGGGGCGCCGCGCGGACATCTCCAGGAGAACCCCAGGAGCGTTCCAGGAACGCCATCATCATCATCATCATCATCATCATCATCATCATCATCCCGATCACCACCATCAGCATCATCATCACCATCAGCATCATCATTATCATCATCATCATCGTCATCATCGTCATCATCACCATCATCATCATCATCATCATCGTCGGTGTCATTGTCGTCGTCATCATCGTCACCACCGCCATCATCATCATCAGCAGCATCATCATCATCATGATCATCATCCTCCTCATCACCACCACTACCACCACCACCATCATCGTCGTCATCAGCATCATCATCACCTGCAGCAGCATCGGCATCACAATCATCATCATCAGCACCACCATCAGCATCAACGTCACCACCATCATAATCATCATCAGCATCATCATGTTCATCCTCACCACCATCATCATCGTCGTCGTCATCGTCATCGTCGTCGTCGTCATCCGTCATCGTCATCATCATCGTCGTCGTCATCGTCATCGTCATCATCATACTCATCATCATACTCATCATCATCATCAGAATCAGCATCATCATCATCATCATCATCATCATCATCATCATCATCATCGTCATCATGATAATCATAATCATACTTATAATCATAATCATCATCAGCATCATCAGCATCATCCTCATCATCATCATCATCATCATCATCATCATCATCATCAGCATCACCATCATCACGCCCTCGTCCCTTTCGACAACCTCAATCACAATAATCACGCCCTCGTCGTCAGGCCTCCCAGGAGGCTTCCCAGGAGGCCCCAGAGGCCTGTCAGGAGGCCCAAGAGGCCTCCCAGGAGGCCCCAGTGGCCTCTAAGGAGGCCCAAGAGGCATCTCAGGAGGCCAAAGAGGCCTCTTAGGATG